GCATATATATTCCCTGCATGGTAAAAGAGCCTAATATAAGTGGAAAGGGAATTAATTTACAATTCTGTTATCTTTAATGGCTAAGATTCTTAAAGGCAGAGGCCATACATCTACCATATTTTGGCATGCTATTAAGGTAACATAATAAAAACAGCTTTAGTGAGTTTGTCTGCATAAATTTGCTCACTGTCTAGCAGAGAGGCTTTTCAATATGTCAGTATAACTTATCTCCTGTCTTTGCATGGGGTATTTTGTGAATTTAAAGCTGTAAAATATTGAACCTGGGCCAGGAAACCTTGATCATAATCAGAATTGATCATAACAAGGAGATGGGAAAAATCATCTGAAATCTCTTAGCCTCAATTCCTTCATGTGTAGGGCTCATGTGTTTTGACTTATGGATGTTGTAAAAATCAAAGTAGAGAACATATGTGTAGCACTTTGTAAATTTGATGTGCCATGCAGATATGGTTGATAAGACTAGAATCTCAGAGGTGGAAGGGACTTTGCAACATCTCAGATGTAGTCCTTACCCAATTCAGAATAATTTTTAGTGCTTTTAATCTTCTGTAACTTTTACTTATCCTGGGACTTTCATCTCCTGTTTTATTTAAATATAATGTCTTAGCATATCTTATTCAATGAACTTCCTGATATTCCTAAAACAACATTTGAAACAAAGACTAGGTTAATTTTTTTCTTGAGTTAAGTAGTATAAGCAGAGGAAATGAAGGATTCACTCCAAGACTCCATAAATACAACCTTATCGACAGTAAGCATAGGAATCATGTGTGTATACTACCAGACATGCCTATATCAAACGGAACTTGGACTGGGCAGAAAGTTAAACTAGTGGAGTTGAGCTGCATCCCTCCCTCTCCCACTTCAGTTCCTAGGACTTCCTTTTCCTATGCTCTGTGGCAGCAACCTACCTTAAGTCTGACCTTATACCTCCTCTATCAGCTTTCAAGCACATGTGTCCTCTGGGCTGTGCCCAAAATAACCAGATTTAATGAAGGAAGTGCCTGTTAAGAGCAGAATACATTTCTCACCTTGAGTATCATTCACATTTTTTAAAGGAATGATTCATTTTCTTCTTTTTTTTCATTGATTTTATTTATTTTGTTTTAGAAAGAGGGAAAGGGAGGGAGAAAGAGAGAGAGAGAAACATCAGTGTGTGGTTGCTTCTCATGCGGCCCCCTCTGGGGACCTGGCCTGCAACCCAGGCATTTGCCCTGACTGGGAATCAAACCAGCAACTCTTTGGTTCACAGATTAGCACTCAATCTACTGAGCCATACTAGTTGGGGCTGAATATCGGTCACATTTTAAAAGCTGCCTAAATAAGCAGTAAGAGCCATGAATTGATGGAATTCTCACTAACATTGACAATTCCAGTCAGTAACTCCTAATGTCCTTATGTAGGACACCTCCTTTGAGGCTCAGGGGTAGGCCAAGAGGCAGGTTAGCTCTCCATGAAAAAAATGTAGCTGTGTAGCTGTGTGTCTGTCTTTCTGTCTTGGAAAATAAAACCATCTAGATATTGGCTAGCCATCTCATTTTTACTATAGCCTGTGAATATAATTACTTTCTAAAGTGATTAAATCTGCCCAATTTGAGGCAGACAGTTGGCCAATATGTGTCAAAGAATGATTTTTTCTAATCATTGACAGGCCTTTTTTTTTTTGATGTAGTCAGCACTGACCAGGCTGCAGAAGTATTGTTTATTCATGATCCAAATGCATGCTGATATCTCATTAGGCCCAGATGTTCATATTCATAGATACAATCTTGACACCAGAGCCCAAACCAACATTATGCTGGGAGTTTAAATTCCTAAAATTCAGCCCTTATTATTTTTACTCCCTTGGGAAAATGTACATCTCCCACCTCCCTCACCTCTAACACCCTCCAGACTACAAAGAACACTTCCAAAACAGTCAAAGAGAATGGAAATATATTTGGAGCAGTGGGATTTTAAGTCTTAGTAAGAGCCAGGAGACCTAAATTCTCCACAGCTGACCTATGATGGTATTAAGACAGAAACAATTTCAGAAGAATTCAATGAGAAAAGATACAGAGAACAATCTAGGAAATAGCAAAAAGAATGATTAATGGGATAAATGTCAGATCAGATAAATAAGGGTTAGAGGATTAAAGTGTTTTTGTGCCAAAGAAAATGAGTTCCAGGGTTGATTTACTAATTGATTATTAATAATTGGCCGAGTTTGATCTGGAGTTCTTAAATTGTTACAAAGAGTCTTTCTCTTCAGCTTCAGTAATTTTAGGCAAAGGAAGGTCAGTTCAAATGGAGCTATAACTATGCTCTACTTCAAAAATATGAAAAGCTATTTTAAACAAGATTATAGTTCTTTGCCTTATACTGAAAACCAAGCATATACCAGTAAGTGGACTAGTGATTTGAAAGTGTGGTTAGATTTAAAGATGTTCTTGATTGAACATCTGATTACAGACTGAGAAACCAAGAGAGTTTGGAAGGACATTAATTCCTAAAATATGTCAATGTAATGTACAAAAATGATGTTTTATGTTCTTTTTATACTTGGTTCATTTCCATGATTTTCCCTTCCTAGTGAAAGAGTGTTGATTAAACCATTTGAATAGATACTGAGATAGATACAATCTTGGGGACAAAATAATTACATTTAGACTTCTGGCCAAGATGGAGACATAGGTAGACAGACTCTGTCTCCTCACATAACCAAAAGAAGGACAACAACAAATTTAAAAACAAAAAACAACCAGAACTGACAGAAAATCAAACTGTATGGAAGTCCAACAACCAAATTGGAGTTAAAGAAGAAACATCCATCCAGACTGGTAGAAGAGGTGGAGATGGGCAGCCAGGTGGAGAGGATTCGTGGCAAGGTGGTGGCTGGCAGAGCAGTCAGTCCCACATTCACGTGCAGATAAACTGGGAGGAACAACTGGGGAGCAAGACAGATGAGCAACCCTGGGTTCCAGTGTGGGGAAATAAACCCTCAAAGCCTCTGACTGAAAACACCTGTAGGGGTTGTGGCATCAGGAGAAGCTCCCAGCCCCACAGGAGAGTTCATTGGAGAGACCCACAGGATCCTAGAATGTATACAAATTCACCCATTGGGAAATAGCACCAGAAGGGCCCAATCTGGTTGTGGGAAGCGGGGGAAGTGGCTGAAAGTCCGCAGAGAGCTGAGCAAGTTGCATTGTTCCCTCTCAAACCCCTCCACACATATAGCATTGTAACAGGGTACAGCCAAGAGGGGAGCCCCCAAAAGGGATTTGTAATAGGGTCCAGAAGAGCTTGGAGATAATTGGCTCCACACCACAGGGCCACACCTGCCCAGAATGTGGGCAGCTGTGGCCAATTGTGAGAGGAGCTGGAAATGGTGCTACAGAGGAAGATTAGCACTGGGATTTAAACGGAGGTGCAGCCATTGGGCGTCTCTCTTTTTGGGACCACATGTCTGTTTAGGACCACGTGGCTTTGGTGTCTTGGATGGGACCATGAGGTGTGGGTGAGAGTCAGGACCACTAAGGCTTTGGAAGTGCTCCTTTTAGCCACGTGGAGGGTGCTGGGAGGACTGTGTGCATTTGTGGGGAACTTTAGTTTGTGTTATTTCAAATGAATAATAAATTCCTTTCCTTTTCACTGATCTCTGGTATTAAGAGATATCTTTCCTCAGGTGGTGGGCAAAACGAACCCAGATAGGTGGGGAGGAACCCCCTGTAGACTGTAACAGCATCACAACACAGTGATGTGGGTTGCCCCACCCTGGTGAACACCTAAGGCTCTGTTCCTCACTACATAACAGGAGTGCTGAGACCAAAACGGCCCAAATGAAAAAACAGATCAAAGCTCCAGAAAAAATACAACTAAGGGACAAAGAGATAGCGAACCTATCAGATGCACAGTTCAAAGCACTGGTGATCAGGATGCTCATAGAATTGGTTGACTTTGGTCACAAAGTAGATGAAAAAATGAAGGCTATGCTAAGTGAAATAAAGGAAAATGTACAGGGAACCAAAAGTGACAGGAAGGAAACCAGGACTCAAACCAATGGTTTGGAGCAGAAAGAAGAAATAAACACTCGGCCAGAACAGAATGAACAAACAAGAATTTTAAAAAAGGCAGAGAGGCTTAGGAACCTCCAGGACAACTTTAAATGTTCCAACATCTGAATCATAGGGGTGCCAGAAGGAGAAGAGGAAGAGGAAGAAATTGAAATCTTATTTGAAAACATAATGAAGGAGAACTTCCCCAATCTGGTGAAGGAAATAGATTTTCAAGAAGTCCATGAACCTCAGAGAGTCCCAAACTTGGACCCAAGGAGGAACTCACCAAGACACACTATAGTTACATTACCCAAGATTAAAGATAAGGAGAGAATCTCAAAAGCAGCAAGAGAAAAGGAGACAGTTAACTACCTACAAAGGAGTGCCTGTAAGACTATCAGCTGATTTCTCAAAAGAAACCTTGTGGTCAAGAAGGGGCTGGAAAGCAGTATTCGGAGTTGTGAAAGGGAAGGACCTACATCCAAGATTACTCTATCTAGCAAGGCTATCATTTAGAATGGAAGGGCAGATAAGGTGATGCCCAGATAAGGTCAAGTTAAAGGAGTTCATCATCACTAAACCCTTATTATATGAAAAGCCCTTGTATGAGTGTTAGAGGCACTTATCTAAGAAAAAGAAGATAAAAACTATGAACAGTAAAATGACAGCAAACTCACAGTTATTAACAACTGAACCTAAAAAGGAAAAAAAATTACATGTATACAATAGGAATAATAATTATACAGTACCTTGAACACCAAGAATGTATAATTTCTAGTGCACTGCTTTTGCCCAGCTTAAATTAAACCTTCTTTCAGACTGTAGTTCTGAAAGAACTTTCCATTTTAATTTAGATGACCTAATACATTACATAACAAGTTTTAGGGTCTTTTTTTTTTTTTTACCCAGGACCATTGTTTATTATAAAGATGAACTCTGATGGGCTTATCGGTAGGATATCTGGTAGCGAGCACGGGCACCAAAGCTTTTGGATTCGCAGCGACAGGGATCAGCTACCAGCAGGGTCCGGTCATACTGGATGAGGATGTTTTTGATCTCCTTCTTGGAAGCCTCATCCACATATTTCTGGTAATAGGCCACCAGGGCTTTGGAGATGGACTGGCGGATTGCGTAAATCTGGGCCACATGACCACCACCCTTTACGCGGACTCAGATGTCCACGCCAGCAAATCACTCCTTCCCCAGAAGCAGAACAGGTTCCAGGAGCTTGTATTGCAGCGTGCGGAGCTTGATCATCTCCAGGGGCCACCCGTTCACCTTGATGAGACCATTGCTCCCTTTGCAGTGCGCCACCGCTGTGGCCGTCTGTCCGAAGACCTGCACGGACTGCAGAGGACCTTTGGATGCCATTGCTGCGGGTGCGCATGCACAAGTGATCCTCTAGGGTTTTCTTTAGCTACTAGGATGTCAATATCTGAGGGTGTTTTTGAGCTATATTCTGAACCAAGAATGCTTGTAATACTTCATCATACAATTATATTTAGGATCATGGTCAAAATTAGCCTGGCTATATGATACCACTGAATGCTAGCTCCTCATTTTTGAGCTAGATTTGACCTAGAAAATACTAAGGAGTTCTCTTAAGTACTCACTTGAACTTGTTTCTGTTGACTTGAAATAAATAGGCCGACAGATTTTTCTCTAGCAATATGGGTTTATTCCGGAACAATAAATAATTGCCATTCAGAACCTGTGGTCTAATGGTGAACCGTGTGAAAGTCTTGAGAAACAAAAGAGAGAAAACTTGTAGAGAAAATTTGAACAACTTTAGTTGACCTCAGCAATCCACAGTTGCGTATGTGAGCTCCCCCTGCTGGCCTCCCAACTTCATTTTAAACAAGGTTTCTTGTATATTAATTTTTACATTCCCAGTGAAAATCACACACACACTATTGACTTTAAAGCCTTGAAGGGGTTCAGAACAGGCCTCCCCAAGATGTGCTACTTTGGCATGTGGATTATTTTGAGCTAAAGGCAACTGAGTCCCTGCAGGCTCAAGAGAAATTTTACCTCTTCCTTAAAGAATTTAAATTGTTAGACTTGCTCATAATACGAGCTACTGCCAGAAATAAATTTTTATGACCTATCTGTATGGCAGGGAATACAGCTAATTACTGATCATCTGCTCTTTTTATCATTCTGTGACTTACCCTACTCCCTTACGAAGCCCAGGGCTTTATCCCTCCTATTCATTGGCTCCAGATGGCACATACATCTTATTTTACCGTTTGGTCTTTGAGCCTCTCTCATATGTGAAATTCCCATACATACAAAATTAAATTTTTTTCTCCTGCTAACTCCTGCTATCTCATGTCAATTTTATATTAGACCAGCCAAGAGAACCTTTGTAGGGTAGAGTAAAATTCTCCTTCCCAACAGCTTCTTGAATTTTTTAATTATCCTCACAAAAATAATATATGTTTCTTGTTGGATTTTTAAAATTAAATATAAGTAATGCAAAAAAGCCTACACAAAACATATCCATTAATAGATGGGCACAGTTAACATTTTTGTTCCCTTTCTCTTTTCAGAGAAGAGTGAATGTGCGCATTTACATATTGTTATGTTTTCCCTCCCAAGTCAATTTATTATAAACATTTTTATGCTACTAAATAACTATTAATTTCAAAATAGGCTTTGAAGATAAATCGTTATGCTAGGAATACTTTCAGGAAAAACTTGTTTTGAATTCTGAATGAAACATATTAAAAGGCAAGTATTTCAAACCTTCCCCTGGAAGTCTCCTTTACAGTTTTTTGCCTATATGGTCATTTAAATGATTTCTTCCAATGTTGGTGAATTAGTTGTGGAAGACATACACACTTTGGTTAGAGGCAGCTTGATTTGCTAGAAATTGTAATAACCTGAAAATCAAGAGACCTGGGATCCAATCAGGGCTCCTGATTCACTGATTCAGTTACAGCGGGAGTAGGAATTAACCCAGAAATCTTTATTTATAATATGAGCCTGTCTAAAAGTGCCAGACTGTAATATCAATTTGATGGATACAATAAGTATTGTTTAATGTGGATGATTTTGCACAATTCAATTAAGAAATCCAGTCAGATTATTATCAATATGTGAGGAAGGCTGTGATAGAATAGGGATTTATGGATTTTATACCTATTTTAAAAAGCTATTGGGTCAACCTGTTCCTTGAACTTTAAAAAAAGATTTTCAGAACATATCAGTCACTTCATACTTTTACTTTCTTCTGTAATTGAAAAGTGAACAAATTGGATCAAATGCCATAATATTAATATCCATAATATTAATTCTTTACAAATCCAGTCAGATTATTATTAATATGTGAGGAAGGCTGTGATAGAATAGGGATTTATGGATTTTATACCTATTTTAAAAAGCTATTGGGTCAACCTGTTCCTTGAACTTTAAAAAAAGATTTTCAGAACATATCAGTCACTTCATACTTTTACTTTCTTCTGTAATTGAAAAGTGAACAAATTGGATCAAATGCCATAATATTAATATCCATAATATTAATTCTTTACAAAAATTCATTACAGATAAATTATTTTAAGAAAAGATTTCATAATAAAAACATCAGTAATGATAGTTGGTACCTATTTCTTTATGTGCAGCTATTCTTTTTTTCTTCGACTGGCTCTTCAAAAACTAGACTCTCATTTGCCTCAATGACAAACCTGGTTGACCAAAGGTTCCATTGCTATATTAAAATTTCTCACAGGTGTGCAGATTAAAAAATGGCTTTGTTAGGTGAGGTAAAGAGAAGCTATCAAGGGAAGAAGAGTTTCCTTTAGGAGAGTTACACCTGCCAAAGTTTTGACAGTCTAAAATTGTGAGGAAAATGCTTGAGATACACAATCAGTGTAGCTTCTCTGGCAGCAGAGAAGGAAGGAGGAGAAACTTATCTCTTCCAGAGAAGGAGATTTATTCAACAACTTAACTTCATTTCCTTCTGAGAAATTATTCCAAACAAAAATTAAGTCCCTTCTAACTTATTATAAACCCACATTTACCTTGTTCTATGCCATCGGTTTGAAAAACACTGGCCCCACTCACTGAGTGAAGTCCCTCTGCATATTTAAAGACTGGCATGAAATGACTTTTGGTCTTTTCTTCATCAAGTTGTATAGTTCCAGCTTTATTAACCTCTCAATGTCAGTCTTCATTTGAAGTCCTTTAATCATCTTCTGGATCATCTCTAAAGCTGTTCCATGATGGTCTTTCGTGAGTCAGTGTTGCTTTCATAAGCTCTCCAACTGCTAACAAACAGGATTTGGGTTTAGTTATCATCACAGTTTATATCTCTTGAGCTGTATTTCTTTGAAAACTCTGGCACCAGGACAAGGCCAAAATGGAGATTTCAGAGGTACAGCTTTGCTTTTTGTATTTTTGTTTTCCTTTTTTGGTGTTAGACTGTTATGATAGCTTTGCCAGTGAGCCAGAGATTCTTTATCTAAGAGAGTAATCTAATTTAACTAGAAACAGGGATAAAAACCTTACACTGAACTCCAGGGACTCTTAATAGCCAGGTTTTTTGCTTAGCTGAGTTTCCTCCTTTAAGAAGCTAGGCTTTATTAATTACCATATGGATTTTAAAACTGCAAGCACCATATCATTCTTTTTTACATATTTTATACTGAATATATTTTGGCATTTTGTTTGATAATATAATTCAATGCAATATATATGTATATTTATAAGCAATATGCTGGAAGATATGATAGGACAAACTAAATCAGATATTCACTTAAAATCTGATTATAATTAGATCACATGGAGGGATAGCAACAGGGGGGTGGGAGGAGGAGAGAGGGGGAAAAGGTACAGAGAATAAGTAGCATAGATGGTAGGTAGAAAATAGACAGGGCGAGGGTAAGAATAGTATGAGAAATGTAGAAGCTAAAGAACTTATAAGTATGACACATGAACATGAACTAAAGAGGGGGAATGTGGGTGGGAAAGGGTGTACAGGGTGGAGGGGAGTGAAGGGGGAAATGGAACAACTGTAATAGCATAATCAATAAAATATATTAAAAAAGAGAAAGAAAAAAGGGAGTGGGATTTAATAGCAGAATTCTGCCATTTTTCTAAATCTGTATAACTTTTAAATAAATGATTTCTTTTCACCAAAAAAATCTGATTATAAGCTTACAATATATTTAGGAAAGATAAGAAAACTACTCTAAGAGACATTAATATATTCTGTAAATATCATAAAATAATTAGATATACATGTTAAGAAAATTTCAGAGGAAACAACTCCATTGAAAATGTCTCCTTAGGCTAAGCTACTCAAGATTATAAAAATATTTTTTGTCCCAAGCAACAAATTAACCAAAAATATGTACAGAACATTAAGAGAACAGTTAGAAATTTTGTTTATCTGGCATAAAATGTTCAAAAAGGTGGTGGATCAGGGCAGACACTCTTTGAGCCAACTAGGCTTCGATTTCAGATGCGGCATGAGCGTCTCTAAGTTTCCACAGATAGGGAGCCATCACTGCAGCTTCTTAAGCATGTGAACAGGGTGAATAGGGCTGCATTTCAATAAGAAAGAATTAGTACTATGAATAAAATTGATTTGAAGTAGAAAAATAGTTAAAAATTTAAAGGACTATTTCAGGAGAAAAATTAATTGAGAAATGGGGAAGGATAGACAGTTTTAGGAGAAATTACGTAGTAGAATCTGGCAACCAAGGGATGGTGAGAAGCAAAGGAACCAGGTAATTCCAAGGGTTAAAGAATAGGTGACAGAAAGGTAATGGTGCATTTATGAAAATGGGAAAATTTAGGATGAGAGATACTCATTAGAATGGTAATGTCAATGTTAGATTTTACAATGGAAGATGAGGCAAGATAATGCAGAAAATGTGGAGTAGTTTTTTTAATGAAATATAACTATGATAAAAATAGAGATAGGGTGTCAGCTTGAAAAACATAACTGAAAAAGGATTTTCAACTACGGGAGATTTAGTTTGTAGAAAAGATAATCCTGAGACATATGAAGAAACAATAAAATAGAGTCCACACCCAAGAAAATAAAGCAACAGAAGATGAGCACCAGGTGACAGAAATAGTGGAAGTAGAATTGGAAGACTTTAAAATAGCTATTATGAAAATGTTCAAGGTTATTCAGAAAAAAAATAGGTGAACAAGTGGAAAATTTCAACAGATATAGAAACTATAAAAAACAACCAAAAGATTTTAGAACTGAACAAGTATAATATATGAAGTAAAAATATATTAATGTGATTAATATTAAAATTAGAACTGCATAACAAAGGATCAATGAACTTGAAGACAAGTTAATAGAAATTATTCAAAATAAAGCCAAGAGGAGCCCTGGCCAGGTGACTCAGTTG